GCCAGGAAAAGAATGGAGAACACTATCGCCCAACCCATTGACGACTGCGGCCATAGTTGTGAGCACCTCTGGTTCGCGTGTAATGGGATTACCCTGCTGGTAGTCTGTGACGATCGCTTCCAGCAAAGGCACCACGAAATCGTCATTGGCAATCTGCAATACGTGGAAAATATTTGAATGACCAGCTATCATAAGAGTCCCTCAAGTTGTTTCTTTAAAAATAATCAAGAACTCATAATGAGGTTGGATATCTCACATGATCTACTCATGTATGTCCTTCATTGCCATCTCGCCAAATGTCTAGTTTCAAATGTTAACCTGCAGTGTGCTCAAGCACATGATTGGTTGCCTCTGCAATGGCGTCATTTTAGCCTAGACACATCACAGCCTGAAAAGCATGCCGTGGGCTGTCCCAATCAAACCTACTTCAACATACCAGCATGGGGTTGTCACACTGCAGAATCCAACACGTCATGAGATTGAGGATGGCCGTCCTTACACCCCGCATCGACTGAACCAGGCGATGTTCAGTGGTCAGCTTTTCGTGAGTGATAATCAAAGCAGCGATCTTGTCAGAAAGAAGCCTGTACATGTTGAGCAAGTCAAGGTTGAGGCAGAAAAGCTGTCTCCAATACGAGTGGCCCAGAAATCGGCAAACCACCAAGTTAGTCATGAGGTTGTTGTAGATTTACTGGGCCATCGGGAGTATCTCTGTTGCCTCGCAGGAAAACAAATAACGACATCTCGTTCTACATATGTTTGTTTCACCTCACGAGACAGAGCATGATCACGCGGAGTAAGGATAATTGTGTCAGTGTGCTGCTTTCCACACTGACGCACTGTCCATGGCCAATATTTCCAGTTTCTTCAATCACATAACGGCCTCCGTGACAGTGCTATGAAGATATTGTTTCAATGCATGCGTGAGACGGACGAGGGGTCACAGGACATGGCCTGTGACACCGTCCTTAAGGTCGCAAATGAATGAGTGTCGACGACAACTACTTCCACATGTAATCGAGCACTTCAACTCGATGATGCTGATCAAATATTTGCACACCGCGTTTCAGAATTGTAAGCCTGTTCAAATAGTTGTGTCGCCCTTGTTAATTGAATGCGATGCGAAGTCCAGGGATTATTAGATATAATTTTTCTGCCTTTAAACACACAATATTCCGGCCTTTTGTGTTCTGGTGTGAGGTGTGGGGTCGCTTTGTGGAGAAAATCACCTGCGGAATTAATGGTTTCATCTCAGATCTGTAGCCGCTCAACGTTGTGACATTTTCCGTGGTGATTGCCATCATTATCACCTCAGAGACGGATGCAGTGGCTCCATGCAGATTAATTGGGAGTCAGTTCAGCCCCTCTAACGCACGTTGGCACGATTTCGTGCTTCGAATCGCGGCTAACGTCAGCATCCTTACCAACGTAGAGGTCTTAAAGCAGCTCTGCTACGTCCTCAAGACCAATTTGCCGGCTTGCAAATGTCTGGGTCATTCC